TTGCATGTAGAGTCCCAGCAAGGACTGTTGATTGCTGTCACAAATTGCACAAGAAAGTGGGCTGCAAGAAAAGATTCTGACATGCTGATCACAATGTAGAAGACAATAATGAATGTTGAAAAGTTCCATTTAGTGCCACTTCAGAGCCCCCTCACTAGCCACTTTCCACTACATGATAAATCATACTTGAAGTTGAACTAAATAATTATATCAGAGTTGTGATTTGAGCTTTCCCCTTTTTTTTGTCCAGCAAGGCTCACCAGGTTTGTTTTCCCTATTCCCCTTTTTATTGAGAGAAAGAAGGGTGTGGCATACAACACAGGCCATGATCCATATGGCATACATCTTCACCACTAGTCCACCCGATGCCCCGCTTACTCTTTACATACTCACTAAAATTGTGGTTACTAATACAATTCAATTTAATTTTATCTATATAGCACTAAATCTAAAAAAGGTTTTTCTGTTATGATTTGTTATGTTATGATTGACTTTTCATATAGAGCAGGTCTACACCATATTCCTTACAATATTACTAATACTGACGTGTTTGTCATAATTGTCAAACATAGTATGCACACCAGTACTTGCAACCTTGCAACTCAACATCACAGAAGAACACCATTCGCCTATGTACAATCCACTATATAATGGACAGAGCTTCCGGGTCAGTCAAGTGAAACCGAAGCGCATTCTATGTAAAGACCAGCAGGGGGCAGCTCCAGTGGCTGCATTAAAAAAATAAACCATGCTGTCTTATGGAGAAATGAGTAGTCTTCTCACTTCATTAATGAGCTCAGTAAACCATTTCCTAATGAGTTTATGGTCTTAATCTCTAGTTTCAGTCTTCTTCCTTACAGCATTATGTTCATTTAGTAAATGATGGTCGCATTTAGAGTAAAATTGAGTATACTTGCTGCAAGGCGTGGCTACCTTGTAATTGACAAGTCATTCTCAGTGAGTCTGTCAAACCGTCAAACTAGGCAGTGCTGATCAAATATGAGTCAAGATTCTCTTACTGCGCTGACCATTTCTCTCCTCAAATCTCTTCAGAAACATAGTTTAGGCATGGCACATGGCTATTTGGCTGTAAGCGTAATACTGCTCTGCGAAGTGGGGGCATGTCGTCACTGTTTTCACAGCAAATGCGTATTGCCGAGAGTAAACAGTGGTGTTTACTGTCACTCTGGAACCCGGTTTCATAACTTTTTCAGGCCCCTAAAACAGCCTTGTCATGTGAACAAAGGCCAAACTGCAACAAAATTTTGACGGTTTATACAAAAAACTTAATTTTTCTATCTTTATCTGTCAATCTTTCCAATGATCCTCCATCCATCTGCTATAACCAACCATCAGATGTCAGCGGGCTCTTACTGCTACTTGGTGTTTGCCGCCATTTGTCTTTCCGTGGCCGTCTATGTCTACATTGTGATCCCAGAGACCAAAAACAAGACATTCATGGAGATAAGCCGGATGTTCTCTAAGAAGGAGGCAGTCCTAGAAACCCAGGGCCTGATCCACGTGGACCAGCTGAAGCTGAAGAAGATGAACGGCTATGGTGGTGTCGAACATACTTCGCTGGAGTTCGACAGCTCTTCTTCTGTACCTTAACTGAGCTTCAGGTTCTCACTGGGACTTCCTCTTCCGTTCAACTGTTTGTACACATTAACCAAACACCACCTCACCTGGACTCAGTTAAGCTTGACCTTTCACTTGGATCACACTCAGGGTCAAAACATTGCTGAATATACAGTACAGTTCTGGTAATTTAACTTATCATTTTAAGTTTTGGTCCGTTTGAGCCATTAAAGAAAGTTTTGCCCATTCTTACGATCAGTACTAATAACATTGTATTCACCGAGGTAATAGAGTGCTACAGGGATGACGTAGTTAGCATCATCCTGGTTCCTTCGACATAAAGCCAATGGGATTGTTCCATTAGATTTTGGATTATTGTGAATAAAATCTACAAGTTGTAATGTTTGATTTAGAATAGTTTGCAAGAGCATGACTGATATAAACAGCCATTTCTTAGCCACTTGTTAGCAATCGCTTTTTTTAAAAACACCTAAAAACCCATTCAATTAACCTATTGACTTCGATGAGATGGAACCAGAGTGGCTAAAATACTAACTCAGTTCTGGGTTTTATACAAATACAAAATATCTATCACAATATATGACCCACCTCCTGCTTAATCTTTGACGTAATTACTGTAGTTTACACACACAGTATTCCTGCTCAATGAGGGATTACCAGCAACATTTAAGGTGCTTTCTCTTTCAGTTTGACATCCAGATAAAGCAGTTTTAAACTGTTGGTTTGTGTCTCCATGTTTTCAGATCTCAGCAATTACTTTATTGTTGCACAGCAACTTTTCATCACCTTAACAATGGGTCATCATTATTGGGGTTGGGGGTTGGGTTGTCTGTTATGGCACTTTAATAAAAAATGTCATGTTACTACTTAGTCATGTTTGTAAAATAATGGGCACCACTAGCAACAAGCCACCATGAACCTGTATATTGTCTGAATGCTAGCAGTGCTTAAGTTGTACGAGTGTCCCATATGTCAGCATGCTTAAACCCAAACCAATAAATACATGTCAGGATGTAGATCTAAGGTAGACTCAACTAAGTTATCAGAGTTTGTGGACATGAATACAGCAGCTTGTGGGTGTGTGCAGTATGCGTGTGACAGAAATTAACCTTTTAAAAATAAATGTTTTAATCTTTTGTATATCTATGATGTGAAATTCCAATATTTGTGCATGTTTTGACTGTGTCATCCTTTTATTGTAAAGTTATATTTGTATGCTTGTTAATATTGTGTAAGTAATAAATCTCTTTACCAGCTCTTAATACACAGTCACTTTACAGACTGTATCAGAGTACTCTGTACTATTAGCTGTGCAGTAAAGTATGTTTTTTAATGAAATGAATATGGAAAAATGCAAACAGCCTTTTTGAATTGTTGAAATATGACCACATAAATTAAATAATATTGTAATACTGTGTTGTTGTGTGTTTTAATTAATAAATGAATTATTTATTATTATTATTATTATTATTAGTAGTAGTAGTAGTAGTAGTAGTAGTAGGTTATAACTTAATTACACTTCTCAAATCTCAACAATTCTCTTTTTCTTTCACACACACACACACACACAAACACAATGCTGTCCAACACCAAACCTAACTCACTTCTGACCCTTAGTGGTCAAAAAGGGAAGTCCAGTATAACTGACACACACTTGGTTTTCATTTTCACACGGCTGGAGCTCTGATGCTTTGTTGTTTTCTTAATTTATTTTTTCTTCCTAAATAACAAATCAATCAGCCATACAACATTACAGTTATATTCAGATGACAGAGAAAAAAAGTCATGCAATAAATACAGGCATTAAGACCTACTCTACAGGATATTTTGTGTGTATAATAAACAGAGCTGGGAAGTAATTAAGTACTTTACTGTACCAGTACTTCATTACTAGGCTCCAGCTAGGGGTTTAAGGTATTTGTTCATCAGTCCCCAATATCTTTATGTAAACATATCTGTGGGGAGTGATGAGGTCGGAGCCTAGACGCCAGAATCTTAATATGCTATACTGCTGTAATAAACATTTCAAACGTGAGTTGTCTGACTAAACCAGAAAACATGCTGATAATGCTGCCTAATATTCACTCAAGAAAAATAATCAAACACTAATATCAAAAGCAGAATTGTTAAAGAAATAACAACAAACAACAGTTGCCCTCCCCATGATGCAGGAGAACATGGTGCAGTCCAACCAGCAATCAACCCCTTTTAAGCAGGTCTGATTCAGCCGGGACTCCTTCTGTTGACCAGCCAGACACCTCCAGCAGAAACCCCCCAGGAACACATGCTCCATCACAGAGTACATTTCAGACCCTGTATCTTTTCTCTTTACAAACAAAGAAGATGAATCAGTACTTTTACTGGTATTCTTTATTCTTAAATTGGATCCCCATTAGCTTCCACAAAGTGGTCGCTAGTCTTTCCGAGGTCCATACCAAAACAGACAGTATCAGTGGAACAGGAAAACAGAAAGCAAGCTAAATATAAAACTCATAAACTAAGTGAAAGGCTTCTACATATAAAACACAATTAACAAAATAGCCTACAATGGAAACAAATACAACCAAAAAGGTTCTAAAACAGCAATAGCAAAATAACATGTAACAATGTAATAACTATGTAAGTTTCATTAACTTTGTTCAAAGTGACTGTTTGATGATGACCAGTACTTACGTGACATGTTTTATACACATGACAAGAGCCAGTGTGTATTCATTTCTCACAAAATAAGTGTGGTGTATTATTCCAGATGACACTTTGCATGAGCAACAGAAGATTTTAATTCAGCTTCCACAGTGAACCAAGATATGCATACAGCACGGAAAGAACAATGAAGACCTAATTAGCTTGCTATGTTTTTTTTAGATGTTTCTGAGCAGCACTTGACCAGATGACTGGGCAGTACTGCAGGTATGACAGAACAATTAAACGAACAACATCACTCATAACAGAAGGTGAAACATTATGCAGGACATTTCTTTTAAGTAGCAATGGCCTTTCCTATCGTAGAGACAATATGATCAATCCAAGACAGTAAATTATCTAATATGGTAAATGGACTGTACTTATATAGCTCCTTTCTAGTCTTTTGACCACTCAATGCGCTGTGCACTACATACCACACTAACCCCATTCACACACATTCATACACTGATGGCAGTGGCTGCTATGTAAGGTGCCAACTGCTCACCAAAATGGATCATTCATACACACTCATACACCGATGCACAGCAACAGGAGCAATTTGGGGTTGCTCAAGGACACTTCGACATGCAGCGAGAGGGATCGTACCGCCAACCTTCCGATTAGAATAGAATAGAATAGAATAAACTTTATTGTCCTGAGGGGAAATTTGTCTTGGGCTCAGTGCTACAGTTTGTTGCTTCACAG